AAAGATGAAGAAAAAAGCGTGGAAGTAAGGAAATTGAAGTATGAGAAAGAATTAGCCTCCCTGAAAAAGCTAACTCTTGCTTGGTGAACAACATATGCATGCTGTTACACAAATGTTCCAAACCGTTCTCCTTCTCCTACCCACTTTATTTGCTCACCCTGCCATATGGAGGGTTGTGCATTGCTGGACGGGTTGTGATTTGGACTTTCATGATTCAGAATTGGGGGAATGGGGAGGTAGTAGACCCAGAGGAGAATTTTTCAAGTAATTTGAAGTAGTGTCCTGAGTAGTTCTACAGTGTGTGTGGGCAGTAAGAAAGATGGAAAAAGATGATTTTAAGAAGGAGAGTCGTGGACTCCATGATGTTTGAGAAAAATAGGGAAAGAACTTAAACCATTTTGAATTTGTTTCTCTTCAAGACTGGGGACCATGTGGGATACTCTTTAATAGAGTTTAAGCAGGTGAGACATACAACTCTTTTCTTTTTTGTTAAATTCTTGTTTTGTATTCTGGATTTTTGGATTTTGTTTTCTCAAGTTTCCTTTTTTTTTTTTTTGGTAAAGATCACCATGATTTATACCGTAGAGAACATATTGGATGCAGGTGTTGGAAGGCTATTGCAATAGCCAGGATTAGAGATCATAGTAGAGTGACTAGGATTAAAGCGTTGGAAATAGAAGGAAACAGATTTCTGTATTTAAAGGTAAACGTGACAAAATTTAGTGATATTGGATAGAAAGTAAATGCTAGATATCTGACTTAATAGGGAACTGAAATAGGCACATTAAAATAGGGTTGAGTAGACTATGTATTTGATTTTGGGCACATTCACTTTCAGATATCACCGAAATATCCTAGAGGAATGTCAGTTGTATATATGAATCTGCAGCTTGGAGGAGAAGTCTTGAATAGATATAGAAAAGTTTATGTGTGTATAAATGGTAATTTAAGCCTGAATGTGGGCAAGTTTGCCAATGAGAGGTTATAAAGAGGAAAGCGCCTAAAACTATACCTGGAGGGTACTGTATCTGTAAGATAACCTTGCAGAGGAGACAGAGAATGAATGTTCAGGGAAGGTAGAAGCAAACCAGGGTGAGTGTTGGTCTATCTTTTTCACCTTCAAATGAAATCTTAATATTTTCCCTTCTATGGAGTTATGGATTTCTAAACTTAATTCAAAGAGGTCATAAGAATAGTGGGACCCTTAAGCTACCAGTGCTTTTCTACGTAGGCTTTTCCCAGTGGACATATTCTCTGGAGCTTATGAGCATTCATAGTACAGATGTAAAATATCTACACCAATTACAGTCATGTGAGGCATAACGATGTTTCCGTTAACAATGAACCACATACACAGTAGTGGTTCCATAAAATTATAATGGCTATACCATCTAGGTTTGTGTAAGTATACTGTGTGATGTTCACCCAATGATGAAATTGCCTCATGACTCATTTTTCAGACGGCATCCCTGTGTTAAGTGATGTATAACTGTATAATCAGCTATGGAAGCCACAACAGTAGTACATTGAGTGGGTCCAAAAAGCCCCACCCACAAGATCATATTAGCTTCCCTTCCCCACTGTGAACACTACGCAGACCTCAGCAATTGAAAGCAGGTGACTTATCTTTCCATAAGATGGGTATGAAGGTGACTTGGGCTCCTGTATCCAACAGAGCCATAAAGTTTTGAGTCCACCTCCTTCCCAAAGTTATCTCACATACCCAGATATGTTAGCGGTCTTCATTCTCCTTTGGGAACTTGGAGAACTTGGTCCCATCCCTAATCATCTTTCTCTTTAAAACAGCTGATGTCGAGATATGGGGGAGGTTGGAAAAGAGCAGTTCTGCACCAGTCAAGAAGGGACATTTACTTTCAGTTTTGAGGGGTGCTGTAGCTGAATGCTGATCAGCCTAATAAACCTACAATGTTGCTGATCCACCCAAAGCCCTCCCTATATTTTGTGCCAAGATCATCATTACTGACAGCATCCATTTCCCTTTGGGAACACCTTGGTTCAACAGCTATAGCCACATTGCTTTCTAGTGGGGGCATTAGGTTTTGTACTCTTTAGATAGCTTGGGCTTTATCTGCACAGTGGTGTTATTTTTTAAGAGTCCACCTTCTTTTGGCGGCTGGCTGGTACGGAGATCCCTACCCTTGGACCTTGGTGTTATAAGGCTGTGTTCTAACCAATTGAGTTAACTAGCCAGCTAGGGGTCCACCTTAATGTGGGCTATTTGCTGCTCCATTGTCAAGAAAATGTCTCTTAAATTCTTAATTTCAGTGCTAGGGCTAGGAAGTTTTCTAAGGCTCCAGGGGTGACAGCAACAATTATCTAGATTCTTTGAGTTCATTTCTCATTCTCCTGTGAATCACCTTCATCAGCTTTTTAAACCCAGTCCAGTGTAGTAGGAGCCTATAAACTGGTTAGTGCCCAAGGGAGTTTGTCTCAGGGAAATTTCCCCAAGAGGGCCAAAGCTCTCTTATAGCAGACATGACCCATTCCCAAAAAGTGCTGAGGCCCTTTACTGTCATCTCAGAAGGATTGACTGTTGACAAGATTGGCTGCAGGAGAAGCTGAGCACCAAGATAGCCAGCTGTTGCCATTCTTCTTATGTACCAAGCATTACATGCCATACTGCCCCTTCATTTTCCAAGCAAACCATCCAAATTTCTAAATATTTGTCTTGTTCTGCCTACAGTGGTTGCAAATTTTTCTGCTTTAACACTCAGTGTAGATGCATGTCTCTGTAACTGTTATTCAGAAGGGGTCAGAATCTTATGTGCTTTCCTGTCCCTCTTCCAGACAAATCTTAGTACTCGTTGTTCATGGGGCAAACCTGCTGATGATGACAGCATAGGGAGTAAGTCCTCCGATCTGGAGGATAGTTGGCAATAACCAGGACATCATTCAGGCTGTTGCCTTTGAATCTACCTAGTTACTAGTTCTTAGCCTGAAACTACCTTTTCATTTCAGCCTTATTAACAGATAATGAAGTAGAGAACCATTCATTGCCTGGTTGACCATGCAATTTGGTTAACATGTTCACTAAGGATTCTCATGGACTTTTCTGAATTCCTGGTATCCGATCTTTTCTTCCATTTCTAGAAAGCTTTATCTTTTCCGGCATTCTATCCTCCTTGCCAAAACTGTCAAAAATTGTGAAGGGTCTGAGATTTTATCCTCGCTAGCTAACAAGTTAGCCTACCATAATTTCATAAATTCTGATGGAAGACATCAGACTCCTTGGTCAGAGACAAGGAGTCCTCATCCTTGGTCCTCATCATTACTCATGGCAATAGCAGTAGCCAGAGTGTCAACATTTGTGGTAGATAACTGAGCCCCAGTTTCCACAGGGTACTGCAAAGAGAGCCAGGTGATGCCTGCATACACAGTTGGGTGTATTCCAGGAAGGGACTCCTAGTTTAGGGGACCAGATCTTTTATAATGGGCAGTAAACCTTTTTTTTTTTTTTGTCTTTTTCCGTGTCTGGCAACGGATCGCAACCCTCAGTGTTGCCCCCGTACCGGACCGGGGACCGGCAACGGGATTGCAACCCTCGGTGTTGCTCCCGCGCCTCGCTCAGCCAGTGAGAGGGAACCGGTCCGTATGTGGGATCCGAACCCTCGGGCGGGAGTGCCGCCGCGCTTCCCAAGCGGGGCACTATCCAGTGCGCCACCGGGCCGGCCCGGGGCAGTAAACCTTTTTGACTTTTGCCTTGGAGGACTATATTATCTTTATACTGGACAATAAACAAACCTGCCTTTTTATTTTCCAATGACACACTGTATTTTCTAAAGCTGTCTACTATATAAAAATCCAGAACAAAGGAGTTAGTGCATCTTCCTGCAAGATGTACAGAAATTCTAGTCTCCCATGGAGAGGTGCTTCCTTCCACCTTGTTTTGGAGTTGGGATAGCATTTTTGATTACATATTCTTTCCCAATCAATTTAAAACTTCTGGCAAAATGATAGAATCTTAATATGTTTGTTTGAAGCATAACATTAAGCTGTTCTTTTCTCTGACAATACCTGTTTCCCCCTTTTTCTTGCTTCAGTTTTGTTCAGATCCTGGCCTTTTCTCACATAGACTACCATAATTGCCTCCTAACAGGTCTCACTGTCTGTAGTCTTATTCCTTCTATCTTCAATACCTCTGACAGAGAGATCTTCTTAAAATGCAGATATGATCATGTCATTCAATTTAAATTTGTCATTGGTTCCCCATTACTATTAGGACAAAGTTTAAATTGTTGAGCAGTTGTGTGTAATTATTTCTCATATACTAACTACTATCCAACTTTTAGATGTTGGCAATTAAATAAATATTTTTAAAAAGCCCTGTAGACCACTATAGGTAGGCTCACCAAATAGGTGTATAGGCTGCTTGTTGCCAGTTTGTAACCTCTGCTCTTATTTTTTTCTTTCATGCTTTGTCTGTAGTGTGCAGTTCTTTCTGCCTTTAATAATTTCCATATCTGCCTCTTATACTCATATTCATCCTTTAAAACTTACCTACTCAGTAAAGCCTTTAAGTGAACCCTTTTCAACTTATTTAGATTCCTTGCTTTGAACACCTTTATAGTAATTTCAGATAAACTGCATGTGTCACTGTGGCACTCATTGTGTTGTAATTACTCATTTTCTTTTTGGTCTCTCTTACCACCACAGAAAGTTTAAGTTACTCAGAACAAAACTCCTGTGCCCTTCCACATGTACTAAATCTTTAGGAAAGAAAATTGCTTTCCTCAGAATTATTTTAGAATCAAATTCATTAAATTAGTTGGTGCTTTTAATCACCTTTAGATATTCCCTGCTTTGAGCCTTCAGGATATTAATTAGCTTAATTTTAAAGGGAAAGATATAGTATTCATTGGAAAATAGACATGAGTTGCAGTCCCTATAGTTCAACTTATAGTCCAATATTTATGGACATCATATATATTATTTACAATGCCAAATAATATTTTCTTGCTTTGTTCAAATTTATAATACAGACCGTGGATATTCATAAAGAGAAAGTGGCTCGAAGAGAGATTGGTATTTTGACAACAAATAAGAATACATCAAGAACTCACAAAATAATAGCACCTGCAAACATGGAACGCCCTGTAAGGTATATTCGGAAGCCTATCGACTACACAGTTCTGGATGATGTGGGCCATGGTGTCAAGGTAAGCATTTTATATTACATTAACAAACTAATTTGCATATCTAGTAAATATTTTGGAAAGGAAATATGGTGGTAAAGATAATTTTCTTAATTAATAGTCTCTTTAGCTAGTAACTAGCATTATTCTTTTCATAGAATATTTAACATTAATTATGTATTTTACTAAGCTTGGGACAGAATTTTACCTGTCAAATAGGCTATATTCAAAAGATGTTAAAACTTGAAATGACTGTTTATTAAATAAGCCATTTTAATCCTAGACTAGTATTATAAGTTTGTGTTGTGAAAGTCATGTCTTGCTTTTACTACTGAATAAATATTTCAAAACAAAGAATTTATATGCTTCCCAAAATTGGTTTAGAAAGTCATTTATAAATATTTTTATCCTTTTATTCCTAAATATGTATATATATTTGTGCACCTGCGTGTATGTGGATGTAATTCCAGCAACTTATAAAAAAATTAAAATGGTATGTAATTTTGTTCTGTGTAACCACCCGCCCCTCCCCCTTTCCCCCCAAACATTGTACACAGGCATGCTTTTAGGAGAGAGATTATTTGTTGTCCATGTCCATTTCTAAGCATAGCTGAAGTAACTGATCTTGAAGGATATCTGTAGTCTGTCAGTTTTTTTGGTACTTGTGGGTCATTTTGCAAGCATCTGGAATGACCTAAATTCTTTACACCTCTCTGCTCGGACTAAACTATTCCTCTGAGATGTGGTACTATGGTCCCTTTCTTAGAGGACATTATTTGATTTTGTTTTTGGTCTTCAGAATATTTTATGGTAATTTTAAAGGAGTGAGCTAGAATCCTGAGGCTTTTGTAGCTGGTTGACCTGACTAGTGCTGCTTCTGGATCTGTTGTAGTATGAATTTTCTGGGGTGCCTGGATGAGAGAGGGGTATAGCTGACAACGTTTATCTTTATTCTTCTCTTTTCTGAGACCATTTGAATCTCCCCTTCACGTTCTTGCTCGGAAGTTATATGTAAAGTTGGAACACTGCAAATGTAGAGGAGACTACTTGTTTGTTCCTGTATTTTTATCAAGGGGTGTGGCTAGAGGGTAAATTTAATTTTAACTTAAGATATTTTAGACTAAATCTATGGGGTTTCAACTTTGAGAGTCTGGGAAAAACCTCTTTTGTATTATTACCTGCCTTGGGATTTTGTGTGTGTGTGTGTGTGTGTGTGTATGCACATGCACACACACATGCACACACACGTACACACAATGGGTCTTCAAAAAGTTCATGGAAAGATATGTGTTATCTTTTAATTCTATTTTTCTGTGAACTTTTTGATGTACCCTCATATACATTTACTTGTATATAAGACACACTCAGTAGCTTTTCCCCCTAAAGCAATACATACTAGTTAGAAAAGCTGTCATTGTCTTAGAAGTGAATATCCTCCATTGTCTCATCCCTCCACAAATAATTGTGTTTAACAGTTTAAGACGTAGTACTTAGCAGAGTATAAGATGCATACAAATTTTTTTTTTTTGGTCCTTTTTGAGACCGGCCGCACTGCGCTCAGCCAGTGAGCGCACCGGTC